ACGTCAGCTCAATTCATATCATTGTGAGAAAATTCTACTACCAGTCCTTCATCACCTTAGACGAAATAGGGTGAATACATCTCGTTGAACAGACCTACGCCATTTCTTGTCCTGGCTGAACTCTTTCAAAATCCGACCACACATCAGAGCATAATGGATGAAAATAGCTTTTGGTAAACAAGGTTTCGGGGAATTTACCAGAAACTAGAGGCCCACTCATTTGATTGTAGGAAACTTCAACTACATGGTAAATATATCTCGTAACTTTTTAGTCCCTTTAGCTCTGTTATTTTTGCTTTCCTTCTTTCTGAGCCTCTGAAGCTATAAGTCTTCGCTGTATACCGAAATATTTGTGAGTGCATACAGACGGAGTAATAGCTAAATTCGAGAAATTAATCTCCCTTTTCACAAGATTGCTACCATCTACAGATAAAAAGTAAAAATGCATGATAAAATTCCGCATAATAAACAAGCCCTCATCTCCGTTCATCATGGACAAACAAATTTCCAGCCCTAACCAAATTAAGATGTGCTCTCACTTCTGCAAGGGATTCAGTTATCACATAGGCACCAGGAAACTGAGAAGATAAGCGATAGTTTAATGAGTGGGTGATATGGGAATACCTAGACTTTCTTGTTAAGCCTAACTTAACTTGGACTTTTCAGCCCCAGCGGGACTCTAACCATGACAATGCGATCTATGGTCTCGACACTTTACACAATAAAACTTGGCTTCACCCGCGATACCACCACAGAATGTGATACAGAAAAATGCCTGGCCATGCTTTAAATGCATATCTGTCCTGTGACCCGAGTGTACTGTGGCATAGTGGTTAACATGTCAAAATTATACGCTACACGTTCATGGTTCGAGTCCCGCTGGGGGTGCGGATAAGACCTAAGCGAAGTCAAAACGGCCGTTCAGTCTGGGAAAGCAAGACATGATGGAAACATCATATCTAATCATATCAATGTGGGAAAATTCAACTACTAGTCAACTGGTAGTCTCGAGGCTCTATTTATGTACGAAAACCGGTCTCCTTATCACCCTAAACGAAATTGGATGAATAAATTTCATATAGACAATGTTATCAACTTTCCAGGCCAAGATTCATCAGGTCTTATCTTCAATGCATTTTGGATGCCCGACTTTTAGATTATATAATGCCAAAAGGAACAAGGTGTGTCTTATGCAGAAAAGTTTCGACGAGCAAATATTTTTACCTGAAATACTATTATCACTTTAATCATTCTCCTACTAGCTTCTATATTTGTATCTGGCCATTCGCAATGATCCCTCTTTTGTTGACTTCTTAGCCAAGGTCTCATTAAAACTCGTCATATTTTTTGGAAATGCTTAAAATAACTCTGTTTAATTGGCACTAATTGCAAGGTTATATCCCGCTTTGGCTATTTCTTGATATCTGCTTGCCTCTCACCTTCGTAGGATTGTCGAATTTGGAACGCTGTTGCACATCCTAAAGCATCATGTTCAAAGCATCCTCTGAGTCTTTAGAGGGAAAAACCATCAATTTATCACATCAGAAGAGGTAAATATAAAATACAACTTGCTATCTGCATTTAATAGGTGCCGCCAAGGTTGAGATTGCCGGTTGGAGAGAATCTTCTGGACCACCCCATGGTCGGTCTTCTCGGCATCATGGTCAATACCAGCGGCCTCAGCTCGCCCGAGGTACTTACTTGGAGAGAGATCGTCGGATATCTTTTCAGTCGCAAGGATGTTCCAAGTGTGTGAATTATTCACTTTTACTCGGCCCCTTTATATTATCAAGCGAATTTTTGCACATATTTCTCGATAAGGTGAAAATCGGGTTTAAACGTTGAATAGGTACTTCTTTCATGCTGTGATTACAATTTCTGAATGTATGTGTTCAGAAGTTTGCCTGAGACTACAATATCCCTCCGGCCTTTAGGCTTAACCTGCCCCAAAAAAAGCCAGGAAAGGAAAATAATTTGGTTTTGCTATGGCGCAATTCTTCTTGCCTCCGTTTTTCCTTTCAGGAGTTCTTGGTCAGGCAGCCGGACTCTCCAACACCGGCTTCTTGAGGACCAGCCTTCAAAGGGCAGCCGGATCCCAGGTCCCAGATGTTCAGTTTTCACTCATTCTGGCCGGTTCCTCCAGTCTTAAGGCATTGCGACAGGTGCGTTTATACGCCAACTAAAGTATACATTATTTCGGCAATTTCATTGTATGTGTGTTTGTTTGTGTAGATATGTACTACTTAATTTGTCCAGAAAACTTTGGTATGTTTTAGGTTGGCTCCAACCGGTTTCCTCACCTTGGCCCTGTTGTCAGGGCGACTTCGCAGCTCTTGGCCTGTACTGTGTCCTCTGCCACTGTGCTCTTTGATCTTCCAGCATCGGGCAGTTTACCTATTACACGAAGGGTAGTGGCCAAAGAAAACAGCCTACTAAGTCTATTCCCACAACCAACTCAATAAAAGATATGAAGACCAAGATGTTGTGGCCTCTGGTATGGTCGCTGTCTCCTTTCGACTTATAGATGTGGGTTGACCTCGCTGCCGCAACTTGGTCTTGTTGTCATGGAGACTATGTAGAATGCACCTAGTCCGAAGTCGTCTGTCATAGTAGTTGCCATGATTCCCAGCATCTGACAGTGGACTTGATACA